GAAAAAAAATTATTTAAAAATCAAATTTTTAAACTGGCGCAAAAACGCGAACTTGGTTTGTGACGTCACACACCAGAAAATCAACAAAAATGCGAGGATGCCAAATTTCTCATTAGTAAATCATCACACATTTCACTAGCTAGAAACTATTTTCATCCTTTACTACATTATAAAAAAATAAAGGATAGGTCGAGGGATAGGTATAATTCTTATTAACTTATTTAAATTTCGCATTTCTACATGTGGCAACAGAAATGTCAAAATCGACTTTAGCCAATCAGAGAGCGTTTTCAATCACGTGATTTTTCGTTTAAATTTTTAGTTTTTATTTATTAATTTATTTTAATAATCTGACTAAAATCTTGCAAAATATTGTTCATTCTCGATTGCATTGATGTATCTGCGTCAAAAAATATCATAATTTGCCATATTCCCGACACGTGAAAGTGGCCCATTATTTAAGCTATTGCAAATTGATTTCCAAGATTTTTCATGTTGTTATTTTCCACTAGAAAAATTTGAAATTTTGGTAAAGTGAGCTTCTCTCCTTCCTCTTTACTTGCAAAAAGTTTCAAAATTTCCCCCCTCACTAGTTTCCCAAGAAAACTTTGAATTGTGTGAGACAGTATTGGTTATTAATTCAGTTATTGTAGGTTGATTTCCAAGATTGTTCATGTTATTTTCCACTGGAAAAATTTAAAATTTTGCAAAAGTGAGCTTCTCACGTTCCTCTTTATATGCAAAAAGTTTCAAAATTTTCCCTCTACGAGTTTTCCAAGAAAACTTTGAAATGCGCGAGACTATTTTTTTAACTAATTCAGTTTTTGGAGGTTGATTTCCAAGATTCTTCATGTTGCTGTTTTCCACTGGAAAAATTTGAAATTTTGGGAAAATGAGCTTCTCACCTTCCTGAGCTACATGCAAAAAGTTTCAAATTTTTGCCTTCACTAGTTTTCCAGGAAAACTTTGAAATGTGTAAGACTATATTTCCTAATTCAGTTATTGGAGGTTGATTTCCAAGATTCTTCATGTTATTATTTTCCACTGAAAAAATTTGTAATTTTGGGAAAATCAGCCTCTGACCTTCCTTTTCACATGTAAAAAGTTTCAAAATTTTCCCTTAATTAGTTTTCCAGGAAAACTTTGAATTGTGTGAGACTGTATTAACAATTATTTCAGTTTTTGTAAATTGATTTCCAAGATTTTTCATGTTGTTATTTTCCACTAGAATAATTTGAAATTTTGGGAAAATGAGCTTCTCCCCTTCCTCTTTACATGCAAAAAGTTTCAAAATTTTCCCTTCACTAGTTTTCTAAGAAAACTTTGAATTGTATGAGACAGTATTTTTTATTAATTCAGTAATTGTAGGTTGATTTCCAAGATTCTTCATGTTGTTATTTTTCACTGGAAAAATTTATAATTTTGGGAAAATGAGCTTTTCATCTTCCTCATTACATGCAAAAAGTTTCTAAATTCTCCCTCCACAAGTTTTTCAAGAAAACTTTAAAATGTGTGAGACTGTATTTTCAACTAATTTAGTTTTTATAGGTTGATTTCCAAAATTCTTCATGTTGCTGTTTTCCACTGGAAAAATTTTAAATTTTTTTGTGAAAATGAGTTTATCACCTTCCTCTTTACATGCAAAAAGTTTCAAAATTTTCCCTGAATTAGTTTTCCAGGAAAATTTTGAATTGTGTGAGACTGTATTAACAACTATTTCAATTTTTGTAAGTTGATCTCTTATGATTTTTCATGTTGTTACTTTCCAATGGAAAAATTTGAAATTATGTGAAAGTGAGCCTCTAATTTTCCTTTTCACATGCAAAAAGTTTAAAAAAAATTCCGTTCACTAGTTTTCCAGGAAAACTTTGAATTGTGTGAGACAGTAGGTAGGTTGATTTCCAAGATTCATGTTATTATTTTTCACTGGAATAATTTGAAATTTTGGGAAAATGAGCTTCTCACCTTCACTCTTTACATACAAAAAGTTTCAAAATTTTCCCTCCATTAGTTTTCCAGGAAAATTTTGAAATGTGTGAGACTGTAATTTCAACTAATTCAGTTTTTGTAGGTTGATTTCCAAGATTCTTCATGTTGCTGTTTTCCACTGGAAAAATTTTATATATTTTTTGGGAAAATGAGCTTCTCACCTTCCTCTTTACATGCTAAAAGTTTTAAAATTTTCCGTATATCAGTTTTCTACGAAAACTTTGAATTGTGTGAGCCTGTATTAGCAATTATTTCAATTTTTGTAAGTTGATTTCTTATGATTTTTCATGTTGTTACTTTCCAATGAAAAAATTTGAAATTATGGGAGTGAATGAGCCTCTAATTTTCCTCTTCACATGCAAAAAGAAGTTTCCAAATGTTTCCGTTCACTAGTTTTCCAGGAAAACTTTGAATTGTGTGAGACAGTATTTTTAATTAATTCAGTTATTGTAGGTTGATTTCCAAGATTCTTCATTTTGTTATTTTCCGATGGAAAAATTTGAAATTTTGGGAAAATGAGCTTTTCACCTTTTTCTTTACATGCCAAAAGTTTCAAAATTTTCCCTTCACCAGTTTCCAGGAAAACACTTTGAATTGTGAGACGATATTATCAACTAATTCAGTTTTTGATAGGTTGACTTTCAAGATTCTTCATGTTGTTATTTTCCAATGGAAAAATTTGAAATTTTGGGAAAATGAGCTTCTCACTTCCTCTTTCTTATCACGAGCAATTATGGGGATTTTTAGGGAATTTGTAAGAGACATTTGTTGGAAATTTGAGAGGAGTTGGAGGAATTTGCGGGAATTTGGAGGAATTTTCAAGAATTTAGAGAAATTTGTGGGGTATTTGGAGAAATTTGTGGTGGGGTATCTGGAGGAATTTGTGGGGAATTTGGAGGAATTTGCAGCAATTTTGAGGAATTATGCGTAAAAAAAATCCCCTTTAAGGAATTGTTTGCACAAATTTTGGGATGGTAGTTTACCCCTTGGTATTTATGAACAAGGGAGATAATTTTTAGTCGGTTAAAGATACCGAAACTTATGTTTTTAAAGAAAATTTTGTGGAAATTATCCAACATTCAAGGGAAAATTGAAAAAGTTGGAGGTAGTTTGGGTTAGTTATGTATTTATGTCAACACAAATCTTACTGGCAAAAATACTGGCCTTCAAGTATTGAACTGCATTGCCAAATATATATATTTTCTTTTTATTTATCCTGAATGATGAAATAATAAATCAGCATCATTGTTTATAAGAGGCCAAAGCCACTTAAAAGAAACCTCGATAAATAAACAAACTGTATAAAAAACAATCAATAGTATAGACAGACTGGACTGTTAGTTCAATAAACTCAAAAGACTAATTCCACATTCAAATGTGATTTATCAAGGAATGCTATCACCTAAACCATAGGCGCCGATTGACACAGCCCACATTGTTTTATTCATTATCGGATTATTTTCATTTTTATAATCTCGATATTGCCAATTCAAAAATTGGTTTATTTTGACGTATGACTGCCCACATTATTTATTTAATTATTTTTAAATTGCCAAACCTCAATTAAATTAGACTCATATGGAAGCTTAAAGGTGACCAGTATGGGCGTTTCGAAAAACAATAATAATAAATGTATCAAATTAATTATTGTATAATAGTTTTTTTTTTTGATATTCAAAACTCATTATAAATCAAATTTTACTCAAAAATATCCTAATTAAGCACTTAAATTGTGCATAACAAGTAAATAATACCATTTATTATGTGACCTTGTTGTAAGATGTTATCTGAAGCTAATTTCTCCTATTTTTAAACCTAGATATTCATTCATAAAATTTTATTAAATATTTACTTAAATGATGTGATCATTGTTGACATAATTAAATTAAATATAATGCAATGCGTTCTGTCTTAAGTTTTAATTAGCCTCCAAAATGTTTATAATATTATTTTTACTAAGAAATAGCATTGGTAAATGATGACACAACTTTATTGGAAGAGTGAAACCAGATATCTTTATACTAAACAAAAAATATAAAGTATGTATGTAGGTAATATTATCCAGAAGCTAAAAAGTTGAGTGGGATTTTTTTTTTGTAATTTGATACATTTAGGGCCAGTTTTTTCATCAATAGTTTTAACGCTTTGTTAGTTTTATTCTTCAAACTAGAAATTTGATTTTGATAATCTTTTGTAAGTACATAGTTTGTTTGTTAGTCACTTTCTTAGGCCCTATGAGGAGAGATTGAATATTGAAGTTTTGTTGATAGCACCTTTAAATTTTACTGAAGAATTCAACTATAAGATTTATTATTTACCAACTTGAGTCATTAGAATTTTCATAATTATCATTAATGGTGCATTTTCCTTTGTCTCAGCTTCCATATTTGCCACAATAACTGAAACATAACGCCATGTGCATGTCCCAAACCAGGATATAATTATTCAATTAATTTCACCTGGAATCTAATAACTCACATTTTTCCAATAAATACATAATTAATGCTGACCAACTATGCCATAAATGTCATTGAAACGCTAAATTATATATGACTAAATAAAGCATTTATAAAATAAAAATCAAAAGAGAAGCATTTCCTTTGAAACTAAATCCGGCTGCATGTTTATTTTTCGATTTCCTTATACAGAACTTTATCGTCATTTTTCATAATTATAACAAGAAAGGTTTCGCCATTACCATTTTTGGTAAACAAAAAATAATTGTTGTTGTTGGGAGTACCTACTGAAACTGGTTTTAAGCGTTAATGGTTTTCAATTTACCAAAACTTTGGTGCAAATGAAAACCACTAAAGATTCTTCTCATTTAGATTCGCAACAAATATTTTAATGGATAAACATTAAACATTTAAAATGTCGCCGTCAAGCAACATTAACACAAAACTGAAACTCTAAAGTGCAAATTATAGACATTGAACAATACAGTGCATCGAAACTTACAAGGGACAATATTATTTAATCAAAATGAAGTCATTTAAAGCTATTTTTCGTAGAGGACATAAGGAAGGGCAAGCTCATCCTGATAATATTTCCCGAACATCATCGATAACAAATTTAGACTCTTTGGAGTCCAATTTAAGTTCCGGTAAAGGAGCAAAGCCTAGGAAAGTTTCTTCAAAAGAGAGGATCGATAAACAAGGACAAGATGGTAAAAAAGGTACCTATTATAAAAACTTCATTAATCTTTACTTGTTTAATCCAAAATATTTTTATTTTAGTTACCAAAAACAATAATAAACTAGAACCACCCCAGCCAGTTGGGCCACCATTGTCCTACTCCTCAGATTCCTTACAAGAAACTGAGTTACAACAGCTAAAGAAGCAGCTCAGGGATATGGCAGACGAGAAGAGTTCGTTGGCGTTGCAGCTGGGAGAACATCGAGGGCAGCTGAATGTTTTGCAAAAGGAAATTTCAAAACTAAAGGTACCTACTTTGATTTTATCCCCAAAAAAAAAATATATTAATTATTAATCTTTTAGTCTTTCCAAGATGAAAGCAACTTAGAAATGGGAAAATTATCGGAAGAAAACACCTTGCTAAGAAATCGTTTAAGGGATGTAGTTCATTCTCCACTCAGTGACAACGAAAAGCAGCAATTATTGTTCGAGACTAGGCATCATAGCAGTGCTCCAGCTTCTATAGCAACAAATGTAAGTGATTTTGATTTTTAACATTGGAAATGTTGACATTCTCGTATATGAGGATCAAATTCGAAGCGTGTCGCAGTGCTCGCGCCTTGCCGGCAAACAGCAGCGCGCGGCAAGGGTTATATCGTTATCTGGGCAGTCAAAATTGAAGAAAAAATATAATATTGGGATAATGGGAAAAAAATTATAGCGTTTAGCGTTTGTTTTATTAGATGGGGATTTCAATAAAATAATAGATATCTATGATACAAGTGAGTTGACAGCATAGGTACCTAAGATACCCATGTGGAAGTTACACAACGACTGCGCAGCTCGAGTTGTGTATCTCACTGATAAATATATATTATGTGTTAAATATTGTTACGGTGCGCTTTCGCGAGCGTATACAGAATTCATGCCTAAAATTTTTCTATGATACAAGTGAGTTGACAGCATAGGTACCTAAGATACCCATGTGGAAGTTACACAACGACTGCGCAGCTCGAGTTGTGTATCTCACTGATAAATATATATTATGTGTTAAATATTGTTACGGTGCGCTTTCGCGAGCGTATACAGAATTCATGCCTAAAATTCCAGAAAAGACTGCTTTATTTGGAATTCATGAGAATGGATTCCTCTTCTTCAAGTGCCTATCCGTTCCGGATGTTGGCTATCAACATGGCTATTCTTACTTTGTTGATGGCGATTCGGAAAAGTTCTACTGTTGATTTGTCAAACCACGTTCTAAGATTTGCTAGCCAAGATATTCTCCTTCGGCCAGGTGCTCTCCTGCTATTAATTTTGCCTTGTAGGATTTCCTGTAGCAGCCTGTATCTATTTGGGTTCATTATGTGGCCGAAATACTGAAGTTTCCGACATTTTATGGTATCTAGCAGTTCTGGTTCTTTATTCATCCGACGCATAACTTCTATGTTGGTAATTTTTTGTGTCCAAGATATTTTCAGTATTCTCCTGTACAGTCCGAGTTCGAAGGCTTCAATTCTCCTGGTAGTCTCTTTAGTGAGTGTCCAAGTTTTTACGCCATACAGAAGGACTGAGAAAACGTAACAACGCAAGAGTCTAAGCTTCATGTCTAAGGATAGATTATGGCTTTTGAAAAGCGAGCTCATTTTAATAAACACAGAGAGGGGCCTTTTCGATGCGACATCGTATTTCTTGAGAGTTGTCCCAGCTCTCGTAAATGATTGTGTCATCTGCATATCTTATGTTATTAAGTTTAGTACCGTTTATAGTGATTCCTTCCTCAATGTTGTCTAGTGCTTCTCGAAAGATGTATTCTGAGTACACGTTAAATAAGATGGGCGACAAAATACAGCCTTGTCTCAACAACACCTGAACACCAAATAGAGCCTCTATTGTACCGACGGCGTTCACAAACCCAAACTGGTTCGGTGAAATCTGTTCTTCACAAAGTCTACACTGCAGAGCATAAAATTAGGGTCACTCCATACTTTGCAATTATTTTTGAAATTTTTAGTTTTTGCGAATTTTTTTTGGGTGTACAGTTTACTAACTTTATTGTGAGATACGTCATGAGAGATACCATGCATGGAATACACAAATATGCTGATAATGCTTTCGAGGAATTTCGGCGAGGGACCCTTTTTTTATCAATTTTTAAACAAATTAACAACAATTTTTTTCTAAATTCAAACAACCACTATAAAATCATCGCATAGAGTAGTAAACTATGCTACACCCACAAAAAATCTCAAAAACTTGACATTTCAAAAATAATTGTAAATTATGGGTGACCCTAATTTTATGCTCGGCAGTGTATATATGATATTCTTTCGTGTATTATCTTGATAAACAGCTTTAAGAGATGACTCATCAGACTTATTGCTCTAGAATCATTGCAGGTTTTGGCACTTGCTTTTTTCGGCAGTGTGATAAATTCTGACCTCAACCAATCCACTGGAATTTCTCCTGTTAAGTAGATGTTGTTAAATATTCTGGTCAGCCATCTGATTTTATCTTGGTTCAGTTACTTCAGGAATTGAGTCTGTATTTGGTCAAGACCAGCTGCTTTCTGTGGCTTCATTTCCGAACTGGCGGCTCTCACCTCGTTCACCAGAATTTCCGGTCCGTCTCCTACAGTTGGTTTTTATTCTTTGCGTACATCATGGAATAGATTGGCCGCGTTCACCAGATACAAACGTTGGTAAACGGTTTGCGATTGTTCTGCTGAACGCTACGTTGAATTTGTGTTAAAACCAAACATGTTTTGCAAACGGTCGCCATTTTTGCAAGCATAATTTAAGAGTGTTTATAATTTTCAACACTGTGTTATGTGTGGTGACTTGTCATTCAGAAGGTGACATTCTATCATTGAAAAGTTGAATCGTTCAGCAGAACCAAGAGTTTACCCAACATATTCTGTTGGTATTTGTAAACTGTTTACAATCCATTTTGGTTCTGGTGAACGTAGTCATTCTCTAGATATGTTTTCCAGGCCTCCTTCTTTTTCTCTGCGCCAATGATGATTTTTCCTGCTTCGTTGACCCAGGGTTTACAGTTGTTTTTGTGGCCTTTCCTTGATACTTCTCGGACTTTCCTGTGAACATTGAAGTCATCATGCATGTTTTGACGGTGTTCGATCTCGCGACATTTTTCTAGTAGTTCTTTTTCTTTCGCTTTCCTGTTTTATAATGCATTGTATACCTTTATATTCCGTTGGATTTCCTTCATTTTGTCTTCTTTCTTCCATCGTCATCCAAGAATTTCTCTTTATTTTGTCCGGTTTCAATATTTCCTTCCTTACTGTTTCTACTGCTTGCTTTAATTTGTTGAGTTCCATATCGACGTTGTTGTTTTCATTTGGTTGAATGTTGTCGTTGAGCATTATTGCTGCTGCTTCCTCTATTGCTGGGGTTTTGAGTCTCTGAAGGTCATAGTTTGGAGTCATCATCTTAGTGTTGACCTTCTTCATTTTCACCTTAAATACACCAACCAAGTGACAGTGATCTTATTCAATGTCAGCTCCTAGATATGTAATGATAGATTTTTTTTTAAGTAAATTTTTATACTTATTTATTTTCACTAATTTGTAATACACTTTTTACATGTTTCGCTACACTGTAGCTTCATCAAAAAAATGTTTAAGAATTTTATGTAGACATAAAAGTGAAATTGTCAATAGTAATATAACTAGTGCAATAGAAATTATTGATAATTTTTGGGAAATTTGCCCGAATGCATTTTTAGTTGAAAAAGAGCTTTTTTCAGTTAAAAACGCATGAGTGCAAGTTTGTCGAAAATTATAAATATATTTCCATTGCACGAGTTGTATTTAATGAGAGAATTTCATAAATCAAAAATTTAAATTTTTTGTCAAAAAATGTCAAAACACCAGTTTTCGCACCAGTTAGTATGCAATTATCTGATAATTTGCACTAGTGCAAATTATCGCGTAATTACAATCTGATTGGTTCAAATTAACAATCAAAACATATCAGTTTATTGTTGGAATACCAGTTTTGACAGATGTATGAAATTCTCATTTTAATTTTATGTCTACATAAAATTCAAATTGTCATTTTAAGTTTATGTCTACATAAAATTCTTAAACATTTTTCTGATGAAGCTACAGTGTAGCGAAACATGTAAAAAGTGTATTACAAATTAGTGGAAATAAATAAGTATAAAAATTTACTTAAAAAAAAAAACATCTTTCATTAGATCATGGATTTCCATCTCGTAAAATACAATTCAATAAAAATCCTAGATATGTTTTGAGGGAGTGGCAGCTATTTCTAAACCTCTTATTCAGTATCATAAAGTCGATTTGGTTTATGACTATTCTTCCCGGTTCATCCATAGGCGCTTTCCACGTATATAATCTTCTTGGTGGCAGTTTGAACCAAGTGTTCATTACTACGAGTTCATTTGCTACTGCAAAAACTTCAAGTGTGTCCCCTCTTCTGTTTCTTTCACCTAGTCCATATTGTGCAAAACCACATAATGGAAGATAAATAACTTGATAATTAGTGGACTGTATAATTAGGTGGACTGGATGATCGACTGGATAGGGAACTAAAACACACGCGCTTTTCACTGACACTATATTTACAACAATTTACACAATATTTACACTATTTACAATTACTACTACAAGATGACAAGAAGCCAGAGCTTGCTTAGATGCCCAACAGGGCAGAGCTAGATTATAAAATTTATTAAAATGTGAAAAGGTTTTTGGATGCTTGTTAACGTGGACAAGCTCCAAGCTACACTGCTGCAATGACAAAAATGGCGCGCAATATATTGACAGACATGACAAAATAGACATGACGACAACGCTGCAGTGTTGCAAACTTTATATGTATAAAAATATTTTGCCATCAAAAAGAGATAGCATGATTGTTGGAACATGTTTCCAACATGCTGGGGGGCCTAGAGTTTCACATGAAACCAAGGTAAAATTTTCCAGCAAAAAAAATAAAAAAATTAAAGAGACAGTAAGCAACCCTTTTTTTAAAAAAAGGTATGATTTCAATGATGATCCAGTAAACGAAAACTTAACTAACAATTAAAGCTAAAAAACATTTCTGGAACACATAGTATGACATTATGTATGTATATACGAGTATAGCTAATTGAATATAAATATAAATCTAAATGTTTTACAAATATATGTACAGAATTTTGTGAATAATTTTCAAAAATATTATTAACAATTATTGTCATCAATCGGTAACACTGCAATCTTGGTAACCGATCTGAGATAAATACCTTTTTTGGTTTTCACTTCGACAACCCTTACTTTGCCGTCCTTTCCAGGTATTGCTTTAACTATTCTTGCCATTGGCCACTTATAAGAAGGTACATTATCCTCTTTTAAAATGACTAACAAGCCCTCCCTAAGGTTAGGCATCTCATCACGCCATTTTGGCCTATTTTGGAGTTGCGTTAGATAGTCGTGATACCACTTTTTCCAAAAATGCTGCTGCATCAGGACACACAATTTCCAAAACTTAAGTCGACCTTGGGGAATTTCC